CCCAGCGCGCCCCCTCCCCGCGCCCCTCGGTGGCGCGGGCCACCCCCCTTCGCCGGTGGCCGCCGGGGCTCAGGCTCCCTGGCGCGGTGAGGCGTCGGGCGTGGGCTCCCCGAGGATGCGCCCCCACCTCCATGCCGGGGTGCTGGCAGCTCCACCGAGGGAGGCTCTCTGCAAACTTTATTTTGCAAGCTCTGCTCCCTGGGCGAGGGCCCTGCAGTCCCCTTGTTCCTTCCTCCCCGGGTGAGGGGCTGCGAGTGGATTTTAGTGACTCTCCAAGCCGGTGGAGTGTGTGGGGCGTGGGGCAACTTTCTCAGAAATCTCATCTTGAGCACACACACCCCCCCCGCCAACGCGTCGTCTAGCCCCCTCAGTACCTAGACCTCAGCCCTCCGTGGCACGTCCTGTCCCAGACTCTATAGAGGACTTAATTTGAGTCAGACCTTGTCTTCCCCCATTTTCTCTTTTCCCAGAAGCAGGAAGAGGTAACACGTGAAAGTTGTCCCTGAGCCTCGAGTGATGAGCTTCCCCTTTCTGTGTCTTAATTTTTTTCAGGCAGCGCTGCCTTCTCCATCATCCTGACTCAGAAAGGAGAAGTACCGGGAGGAAACTCCTCACTCTGATCTGCCCACCACACACCCATCGGCTCACCTCATGCCTGGGCTCTGGATGGGTAAGGGTGAAGAACCCACCCAGCCAAGATGATCTCTTCCCTGGGGGCTGCTGCTGCTGTCCTCCCCCAGATCCTGGGCTCCGGCAGATGGGAGATTGCCCCCAGAAGGAACCCGGTCAGGAAACCTGTCAGCCGGCTGCAGAGGAGGTGAAGAGGGCTTAAGAAGAGGCGCCCATCTCAGAGACGGAAGCTCCTTGCCTTCACTCTTGTAGACTTGTTTTAGGAGAGGAGGACCAGTTGGTCCTTGCTGCCCTTTGCAGGCAGCAAGAAACTGGACAGTGGTTCTGCCCCAGCACCTATGCCCCCTCCTCTAGCAACTGCAGCGCCATGAGTCAGTTTCAGGTGCCCCTGGCGGTCCAGCCGGACCTGCCAGGCCTCTATGATTTCCCGCAGGGCCAGGTGATGGTAGGGGGCTTCCAGGGGCCAGGGCTCCCAGTGGCTGGGAGTGAGGCCCAACTTCGAGGGGGTGGAGATGGGCGAAAGAAAAGAAAACGGTGTGGGTCATGTGAGCCCTGCCGGCGTCTGGAAAACTGTGGGGCGTGCACCAGCTGCACCAACCGCCGCACACACCAGATCTGCAAGCTGCGCAAGTGTGAGGTGCTGAAGAAAAAAGTGGGGCTTCTTAAGGAGGTAAGCTGACCTCTGCTAGGCTCCCCATCCCTAGCCTGAGGGCATTCTCACCTTGATGGTCTTGTTAAAGACTCATTCAGTTAAGCCCACCCTCCCCTTCCTGGTCTCTTGGTCCACTTTTGAGCACTGCTGACAAGCCCAGTGGGCTCTTTTGCAGAGCTGACGATTCTAATAGTGGCAAGGTCCCACGCTGAGGGTGCTGAACCAGCACTCCCATCTTAGATATTTACATCTGATTCAGAACAGGAGTGTCTAACTTGAACTTTAGAGGTTTCTCATCCTACTTGAAGCCTCAGTTTTATTTCAAGGTCACTGCAAGGTATGGGTGATGTGGACAGTTGTGGTGATAGGTGAGGGACAGAAGCTGATGGATTCAGAGGGAAAGCTGACAGGTTGGTTTTTATGCTGCCCTCACAAAGCTGGAGGTATTTCCCTAAAGCTTTTGTTGGGTGCCATCATTTTCCTCAGACTGGGAATTTAATGAGAAACAGATGACTTGGTTTTCTAATGGTACTGAGTACTTATTGAGACCAAAGACTTTGGTGCAGTGGTATTTTGACAGATAATAAGCACTGGATACCAATTCATGAATGAATGATGTACTTTTGAGATACCATCACCCTAAGGAGGAGGACTCTCTTCAGGGCAGAAGAGGGAAGGAGGGCTTGGGATGAGCAACCATAGTGGGTGTGAAGGAAGAAGTGGAGGAGCAGTGAGTGTGTATTAGCCTTTTTTCCTTTCCACTATGGTGGTGAACATTCCACATGAGGTTGGTACAGTTGCAACAGCAGAGAGTTGGCAGAAGTAGGGACAAGCGAATCGAGCAGCTTTTAGGCGGAGCGTGTAGCGGCTGAGGTCGCTTCAGGCAGCGGAACTGGCGCTGGACAGAGACAGAGGCCTGTGCTGTATGCAGGGCTTCCCCGGCTCTGCCACTGATTTGTTCCTAGAGGCTAAACACCCTGCCCCTGCCTGTCTTCTCCTTGGGGAAATGGGGTTGTACTTGCTGGCCTTCAAAGTCCCCTCAGCTGGACCAGAGCGGCCGTGTTCTGAGTGCCAGGGCACCTGTGGCTGAGCTGGGCATGCAGTATGCACTCAGGGCTTACCTGACCGCTGAGCACAGAGCTGGGCCACAAGCTGATGGGTCAGTGGCTAGGAAGAAAGGCCAAATGCCATGGGCAGGGAAGTGGGTGTTGCTGGGATCTGTCTGTCCCTCCTCACCTCCCTTTGTCCACTTGCTACATGACTCGGGGACCAGAGTTGGTTCCCTATGTACCCTGACTGGTTAAAGCAGACTTCTGGGTCACATCTGCAGCTCCCCCATCCCAGCCTGGACGATAATGTCCAGTGAAGCTATGTTGCTGGAATTGAGGGCAGCTGGCATGCTTTTGGCCCTGTGCCCTGTAGGTCATTTCTCAAAGAGGGTGAAATTAAGTACAAGACTCATTTCTGGGCATGTGAGCTGGTGTTTGAGCATGAAAACTGCCCAGTGTGTCTTGTAGAGCTAGATTCCTTCGTTTCCTTCCCTACTCGTCTGATAGCCAGACCCAAGGGTGAAGAGGCTAGATGAGCTCTGGACTAGATGTTCTTGGAACTGGTGACCCTTGTGGATGGTGTTCAAGTGCCGCTTTTGGCAACAATGGGGCATACCTGAGTGAAAGGGACCAGGAGTGAGGCCAGGGTATGTCATCCTCTCCTGTAGCTGCTGGCCCAGACTGCTGGGTGGTCATGGTAAAGATACTGCAGCTCTGTGTTGGCTGAGGCTTAGAGACAGCCCTGTTGAGAAATCTGTGCACCCTGCAAACCTTGCCATGGCTGACTGCCCCTGTAGGTTCCTAGGGTCAGGTAAAAATGTAGCTGGACAACCTGTGACATCCTAGGATAGAGGGTCCACATGCAGGTTTGTAGAGCAGTGCTGGCTCCCAGTTACTGGAGAAACTGTACTGGGGACAGTGGAGTGATTTTTTTTTTTTTCTTAAAGCTAACTTTTTAAATTTATTACACATGTGCGCACGCGCGCTTCTGTGCCATGGTGCATATGTGGAGGTCTGATGACTTGAGAGAGTTGGTTCTCTTCTTCCATGAGGGTCTCAAGGATCAAGCTCATCAGGCTTGGCAGCTAGTGCCTTTATCCACTGAGACGTCTTCCTGGCCCTAACTTTTAACAAGCAGTGCTCTAAGGATAAATCTTTTTCTCCTTGATATTTAAAGTTTGATAAAAAAAAATTTAAGTTTTTGCTTGGTAAAGAATGCAAAATGGGGGGACTGGAGAAATGGCTCAGAAGTTAAGAACACTGACCATTCTTGCAGAAGACCCAGGTTCGAATCCCACCACCCACATGGCATATCTGAAACTCCAGTTCCAGGGAATTTGATGGCCTCTTCTCTCCTCCACAGGCATTGCATGACACAGGTGCATTTACATACATGCAGATAATACATGCATACACATAAAATTAATAAAATAATTTTTTTTGGTTTTTTTGAGACAAGGTCTCTCTGTAGCCCCAGCTGTCCTGGAACTCACTATGTAGATCAGGGTGGCCTTGAACTCACAGAGATCCGCCTGCCTCTGCCTCCTGAGTGCTGGGATTAAAGGCGTGCGCCACCATGCCCAGCTTAAAATATTTTTTTTAAATGCAAAATGGTGACTAGGGGTACTTTCCCATGAAGGTCAAAAGCTTGGGAACCACTGTCCATGCAACTTAGCACTTGTGCCTGGCACAAGCTAAGGGCCGCCTGAGAGACTCCACCTGAATAGTGTTTAGCAGTCCCAGGGGACCGCTGCAACCTTAATCATTAGATAGCGCTTAGCAGAAGGAATGTGTTCAGGACTGGAAAGGTCCTTTTCGGCCCAGATGAATGCTTCAAAGTGCGGCAGGATGCTCTAATCTCCAGGGCCTCAGAAGTTGGACCATCTGCTCTCATCTGTGTCTCTTGGTGTTTCTGGTCTTCTGGGCACCCTTTTCTTCCATCCTGAATCCATTCTCCCAGCAGCCTTTGGGTTTTTTTGTTTTTTGTTTTTTGTTTTTTATTTTTTTTTAGCTGAGTGCTGACAGCTGTTTGGTATCATCCTGTAAGTGGTGGGGAGGCTTATTTTGGGTTCTCTGTCTTCTCTTTTCCGAATTTTTTCCTAATGGGCTTTGGGCAGGAAGCTCCAGAATTCCTTTAGTTCAATATTTGAAGAGTTGAGGCTGCTTCCCAAGGGCAGGTGGACACTTCTCTGGGTTGGCAGTAGCTGTAACCCATCTGAAGGAGTTTGTTCCTGTCCAGGATCTTCCTTCCCAGTTACAGAAGGATTCAGAACCTAGCTTAGGTCAGTGTCTGTTTGACTTGGATTCTTTTCACCTGAATGGTGTCTTGGCAACACAACAAAGGCAGGTTTCTTAAGTAGGGTTTGGTAGGTATGAGGTATAATAGGGCTCATGATAGGGCAATATAGTAAATCTCTCTAGCATTGGTTTTCTCAGTTGTAAGAAGGGAGTAATCCTTCTTGGTGTTTTGAGGATGAAATGCAAGATAAAATAATACATAATGTCTAACACACAGTGACATAACATTCCTAGAATATATATATATATATATAAATGAATTAAACTTCATGCATAAACAACTGCATTAGTCTGAGTTGTAAGCATGTAAGCAACACAGACTTAAGTATTTATCTCAAGACATCCCCTGGCTGCTGGAAGAACAGCTCTGGGACAGAACTCTGGACCCAGTGTAGAAAAGGGCCAAGTCTGCACACCCACACCAGGAGCAAGGTATCACCATGGTCCCGGGCATGGGCAAGGGAAGTCGAGATCTGATTAAGTAGTAGAATGACACTTTATGGAAAAGCAAATGTATATGGGAAAACATGCATCGGGTTAGAAGCCTGAGTAAGAACAGTATGGGTGAGCATCAGAGAAATGAAAAGATACATGATTTGACAGCACCTGCTAGCCTTCAGCCAAGTTTGTCTAATCATTTTTCTGCCAGATGAGACCAGATACATTGGAACTCTGGGGGCTTGGGAGGAGGGTCTTTTCAACACCGTCAGAAACCTGATGAGTTCTTGCCCAGCCTGCTGGTTGCTCTATCTTCCTAAGTAGGGGTGTACTTGTAGCAGAGGGAGAAGTGGCTGATGTAGAGGTGATGAGAATCTTTAAGAAAGGAGCCCCACCAGGATGTTTGAGACCTGAGAGAAGGCTGGGCAAAAAGACCAGAAAATTGTCTTTAAGGCGATACTTTGAACCCCGTAGCCAAAGATTTGATAAGGGAGATCGGCTGGAGGGAAAGGATTGCTTTGTAAAAAGGAAATATGACAGAGTAGTGAATGGTGGCCCAAGAAGGAAGGTGGGGCACTTGCTGGGGTTGCGACCCAAAAAGTTCAGGAGCAGTCTGAGCCTTCCCAGGAGCATCAGGAAGTCCAGTGGCTAGTGTGTCTAGTGGGAAATACTTATGACAAGAGGTATGTTGTATATTCTCTAACTTCCTGCTTCTTGGTAGGAGTGTAACTAGGGACAGAGAAAGCAGCCTTTAGTTCCCCTTGTGCTAGATAGAAGGTATACACTGGGGAAAGGAGAGCCAGTTGCCCCTTGCCACTTGCTCCTGACTGAATACCTTCCCACATGCTCTCTGGAATCAGTCTTTATAGAACTATGGTAGTAAAAGGAGTCCAAAAAACCAGAGATGGCAAAAAGCCCAGTTTTACAGAGATTTTGTTATAAATGCATTAGTTTACTGTTAATTTTTGATACTTCTGGAACAGTTTGTTGAAAGGGTGGTTTGTGAGATTTTAGGAGGACTAGCAGTAGACTATGTCTGGTTCCTCATGAAGCAGCCCAAACAAACAAAGATGTGGATTTATGCAGAGATTATGGAATCTCCAGCAGCTTCTTGGACAGCTCTGAACTTCACTATCCTGCTCCATTAACCAGTGTAGATATGGGGGAGGGGTCCACACAGGGAACACTTAGAAAAATTTGAAGACCATAGTGCGTGAATCCCACTTGCCCAGG